GCACAGGAAGTCCATATGCATGGGCACCATTAAGAATTCACAAAGTGTGTAAAAATGTAAAAAATACATAAATAAAAATTTCCAAAATTAATATAAAATTTCCACTTTCATTGCACTAGGTTGAACTTAATGACTTTCCTATCTTTTTTTTTTTTGCTGAAGAAATTTTCATACATGTTCCATCTTCAAATGAATTAGCTCAAAATACATTAGCTATCCTTTTAAGACTTAAAATAAGAGAAAAATATGCTGATCACCAAGGACAATTTATGTCTTTATTCAAAACAGTTTCATATGCTTGTATTTGATATCTGATATTAAAATATGGGAATACACTGTATGTAACTTGCTTCCTAAAAGGGCTCTACCTGTATTTGTGAACACCAGGCATTATATACTGGATATAAATGGATGTAGACTGTAAATATATTCAAAATACCTCTTTTACTATTCTGACATTTTTTTTCTTTTTAAATTCTTGTTTGAATGTGAAAAGCAGCCTGGCTCCTGGGAGTCCAATTAGAAAAAATGTGTCCATAATAACACTTGTTTGCAACACTGCCATCCAATTATCTTAAAGAAATACCACCAAAGTCATATTTCTTTTTAAAAATTCAATTTTTTATGTTTCAAAAAATGTAAGTGCTGCCAAAGAATACTTTGATAACCAATTTTAACTAAGGGCTTGGTGACAGTTTTTTTTTAATATGACTAATATGAATGCATGATAATGCTGCAGCATATCATCCTGATCACTTTTCAGGGCACTTCAAAGCCTGGCAGAGATTCTGTAATATCTGAAAAAACTGTTCTTCTTTTATCTGGAAAAGAAAATCAGAATAAATTCAGAATTTACAATTCCATGCAACTAAAAGTAAAAACAATCTGTTTACACCCCTTTTCAATATATAGGTCAATTTAACATAAAAAAATTGACTAACAATGAGCGAGGGTCGGAAGATATGTCCAAGTGGTACTTAACTAACACAAGTCTAGGAACTCACATAATAAAATAATAAATACTGGCTTTATCTTTTTTCATACAGAAAACAGAAAATGGATTATATTTTAAACCTTTATTACTGTTGATCTTAGAACCATATGATATTCTCCAATAGATCTACTTCATTTTAACTTAAGTAAAAAATCGACAACTTCAACAGTAAGCGAGTATGTTGTATAAATGTCTCAACTTTCATTTTCATACCTGTACTAGCAAGTCATTGATTTTGAAATTTTCAATGATTTATAGAATAAACCCTACACTTTCAAATGGACCTTTATACTAAAAATGAGTGTTAAGTTAACTGATCATGAAAAAAGCTCATAGTACATAAATACTTCGACCATTCTACATGTATATCCAAACATCTTTTTCTTTACATCAATGTCAGAAAGTTTTTAAATTTTTATCAGCCTGAAAAAAAGACAAGGGAAATGTTAAATCTTGCCAAATACTCCCCTGATCTATTGCTAATTATTACAAATAAAAGGTGATGTATTCATAATTCAATCAATATATACAACTCTCAAGCACATTATCTATGCTTCACATGACAGGTGCTCGCAATGCTACGTTATACAGCTACAGTACACGTACGTACTAATTAAGGCACGTGTCGTTATGTAATATTAGTATTCTAAATAACACTAGATCAAAAGTTATTATTAAACTGAACTGTAGTCGGAGTTGGATTACTCTGAATGAGCCTGCGTCGGTCACACGGTGCACATTTTAGCAACAAATCTACAAGATACAATGTATAACAAATGTGTTTGATTATGTACAGTATATAGTGGAGCGAAACTAGCACATTTCTCGTAATAAAAAACATTTATATATATTTTAAAATCTAAATAATTTGCATACGTACCTGATAATGGAGTCTCTGACATGCTATAAATATGTGGGTTCCATATTTCAGCAAGGATAAAAATCATAACTTGCCGCACAACCTACTTCACCTGTCCCTGCCTCGTGGTAAATTGCGGGGTTTCGTTGGCAAGCACCTAAGTTCACCTCTCGTTTAGTGGGCGGGATTTCGGTAAATTTACTAAATTTGTATTAAGTTTTTGGTCTTTGATAAAAGAAATGTTTATTCTGTTTCTTAAACTTATATTTGACTTAATATGGGTCTATAAAGATGCATTTTAGCACCCAAATCTGCGTCACATGATTTGTATCACATGACTTTTTTGAACTTCCACAGTTCAAGGTCAAAAAAATACTGTCGCAGCAAGTTATGGAACATCATTGCTTTGCGTGAAAATTGAGGTTAGTCACTAACTTTTTTGGATGAATAAACGTAATTTTAAGTTCGGGAAATGAATGAGATGTGCACTCTTATCGGAGGTGCCTCAGGGGAGAAATTTTGCTCTGTTTTTTCACAACTTTTCGGATTTTCTGTCGAGACTTCTTAACCAGAGAGTGTGCGGGAAATTCCCTTCAAAATCGAAAACCTGGATATATATTCGACCATTTTATTAATTTTAAGCCAATTTCGTATTTGGAAACAATTTCCTCGCAATATAGTCCCTCGCTATACAAAAGCCTTTTCGGACACGTAAAATTTTCAGTTTTCTTGATTCGGAGATAAATAATTGTAACTCTGTATAGTGCATTGACAAAAGCTTACAGTTTTTCAATATACGGATAACTCCTCGTTTAGTCTCTAAAATATGGAAAGTCAATTCACTGTAGTTTTTTCGCAAAGTTTATTTATTTCAGACGTACGCATTTTTCATCGCGCCGCTTTTTTGGCGCTATTTCGTGACGCGGAGGTACCAAAAAATCCATGACGTTTCAAATCACACCTAAATCCTGACAGTATGTGTCCTACTGATAAGGCTTGGCAAAGCAGACAACTTGTGTTCAAAAATGACATTATTTCATCAAATTTGAACTTCTGAAACTTCAGAGCACCTCCTATTTCAAGAATTTTGACCAAAATGACATTTTCTTTATTTTAATTAATTTTTTCTGTACGAAATTTAAGGCACATTATGGTAACTCCAAAATTATAACATCTAGTCCCTTATATCTCCAAAACTGGCAGAGATAGGTCCATAGTTACTATTGAAGTTGAATAGGAAGTCATATACTGGCAATCTTACTATGACCTTGAAATTGACCTTTGACCTACTTTTCACCATGAACTGAACTTTGCAAATTTTTCTTCCCTTTTATCTCCAAAACTGGCAGAGATAGGTCCATAGTTACTATTGAACTTGAATAGGAAGTCATATACTGGCAATCTAAATGTGACCTTAAAATTGACCTTTGACCTACTTTTCACCATGAACTGAACTTTGCAAATTTTGCTTCCCTTTTATCTCCAAAACTGGCAGAGATAGGTCCATAGTTACTATTGAACTTGAATAGGAAGTCATATACTGGCAATATAAATGTGACCTTAAAATTGACCTTTGACCTACTTTTCACCATGAACTGAACTTTGCAAATTTTGCTTCCCTTTTATCTCCAAAACTGGCAGAGATAGGTCCATAGTTACTATTGAACTTGAATAGGAAGTCATATACTGGCAATATAAATGTGACCTTAAAATTGACCTTTGACCTACTTTTCACCATGAACTGAACTTTGCAAATTTTGCTTCCCTTTTATCTCCAAAACTGGCAGAGATAGGTCCATAGTTACTATTGAACTTGAATAGAAAGTCATATACTGGCAATCTAAATGTGACCTTGAAATTGACCTTTGACCTACTTTTCACCATGAACTGAATTTTGCAAATTTTGCTTCCCTTTTATCTCCAAAACTGGCTGAGATAGGTCCATAGTTACTATTGAAGTTGAATAGGAAGTCCTATACTGGCAATCTAAGTGTGACCTTGAAATTGACCTTTGACCTACTTTTTATCATGAACTGAACTCTGCTAATTTCTTTCTCTTTTAATTTCAAACTTGACAGAGATAGGTCCATAGTTACTCTTGAACTTGAATAGGAAGTCATATACTGGCAATTTACTGTGACCTTGAAATTGACCCTTGACCTACCTTACGAAGAACTTAAATTTGATTGTACCATATATATTTTTTGCAATAGTTAAAAAATTCTTGTTGATTGCATTTTTACAGCTTGTCAAGCACAAAACTGGTGGCTGTGTCCCTTAGTTTGTGTATGTGGGGGTCTATACGAATGCGTTTGCTCCAGCTGGTGGTACAATATTTGGAGGCGGTATCGCCTCTCTGATCCTCTAGTTCTTTTTCTATTGTAAATCCTTTGTCAGCCATGACAGAGTCTCCTTCAGCAATATAACCTTGTTGCTTAAGCTTATCTAAATGTTCATAAAATCCACTCTGTTCAGTTATGCATTTATCAGATATAGACCCAGTAAATAGTTCTGAAATGAAAATAAAACAGATCCACTGGGATCACAGCCAATAAGACCCTTCAGTGTTGTATTGGACTTGTAATCACTATACATCTGACTTTGCAAACCAAGAGCAGATGGAGTTTGTGTTTTGAACTCTGTACCATCAATAATAACCAATGTGTTTGGAAAATCAGCTTTAAAGTCTTTTTTCATATTCTCAATAATGATATTTCTATGTGGCCAAATTGACAGTTGTCCAAACTTAAGATGCATGGGGGCTATCCATGTATTAAAAACAATTCCAGCAGACTGAACAGTTAAACCAAACCTAATGGCAATATCCTTTAAACCAAAATTATGATGTAACCGTATCAACACTGAAAATAAGCAGTCCTCTTGTGTCAAAATTTTAATATCATTCCGCCCTTTTTCATACTGTAGTATATAGTTGTCTGGTAGCAAAAAATTGAACAGACTTTTAAACCGCTCATGAGTAATTCCTGTGTAGTACTTAAAGAGTCCTTTTATCTTCTGTTCTTTGTCTAAAATGCTTTCTATTCCAAATTTCATTTGATCATCAATTTTTTCCTTCAGCTGTTTGTTTTCTTCTTTCAATTTCATGATCATTGACTCCAATTGCTTGATTTTGTTATTTTTCAAGTCTTATTCACCACGCAATATGTGTAAATCTGTAGATGTAGCTAACATGTCCATTGGAGAAACCCCTGCAATAAAAAAGAATATATATATATATATATATATATATATATATATATATATATATAGATAGATAGATAGATAGATAGATTTACAATTATAATAAATGTATATGCTTACATGAGTTCTTATTTAAATATACATTTAATTTTCAATTATGACTGGTTTATTTCAGACAGGAAACATCAAAAAGACAGAGGAACCAGTCCACGGAATTGGGTGTGGTGACAACTCTGTTTTCAAACCATCGCCAGTGATTTTACCCAAGGAATATGTTATTTTGAACAATGAATATAATGACACAGATTTTGTTAAGCTGGAACTTAAAACCAGAGATCAATCTTTGTCAAAAGATTGGTTTGAGGCACGCAAGACCACACTAACTGCCTCAAATTTTGGTTGTGTGATCAATAGAAAATCAATATCTACTGAAAAATTTTTACGAAACTTATTTTCATCAAAACAGATTACAGCTCCATCTTTAGAATATGGAAAACGTCATGAAAGTGAAGCTAAGAAGGGATACATGGAGCGACACAGAAATACCCATTTTCATGAATGTGGGTCAGTTATTAACAAGGACTACGCATTCCTGGGGGCAACTCCAGATGGAAAGTTGTGTGACAATGGACAAACCGGAATTGTAGAAATTAAATGTCCCTTCACAGCAAGAAACATGAAAATTTCGACTGCATGTGAAGACATTGCCAATTTTTGTCTTGAAAACAATAATGGGGAAATAAGATTAAAAACAACCCATGACTATTACGCTCAAATTCAAGGACAGCTCATGATAACAGGATGCAACTTCTGTGAATTTATTGTATTTACACAATGTGATATGCACATTCAGAGGATTATGCCAGATCAAGCTTACATGACAGAACTTCTACAAAAACTATCCAGATTTTTGAAAGACTTTGCAAAACCATTTTTGTCAAATACTTTAAGCTTGAAACAAACTTACACTGTTCTTCTGTCTGAGTGCCTGTACCAGTTTCTGTTTCAACAGTTGATTCAGATGCATGTGAATTATCCTCATCACTGCAAGAACAAAAAATAATTTAAACTAAAAAAATTATAGTCTATGAATTTTTTGTTATGTATACAGCTGAAATGGGCATAATGGGGACATTAAATAAGGAATGTTGTTCACAAATAAATGAAATTATTGAATGGGGGCCACAAGTCCAATTTTTTAAAACTTTATTTATGTCATGGAACATTATCCATAAATTTTGTGATCACTTGTACACCAGAACCAAATAAATTTCCCACTGAATGCATTTCAAAAGTTTTGAGCATGACCAAAACATTAGGGTCAGCTATTCTAATATCCAGGAACGTACAAAGAATTGTATTTCAGATGGCATTCTTGCTCATTCCGTCTCGGGCCTATATCTGGAATGTGCAAGAATCATTTGATGTTCATTCTGAGCATTCTAGCGGCATTCTTTCAAAGCCGTAAGAATTACGGTAAATTTGAAATTCCCTCCCAAATGGTGCACGAAATTAAAATTTTATTCATTCCATTGTTGGTTCTGCTTGATTCCTGCTGATTCCGAATAAGTGTGACAGGGGTATTAGTTTGAACAAAGCATGTTCTGTTGTGTACATAATTCCTGATCAACTTTTTATCAAGAAATGAGTAATTGAAAATTATGCTTAATTTACATGTTCTCAGATGTTTTGATGTGTAATATAATAATATTACCTTTCAACCTCCTGCAATAGTCTTTTCCTTGCTTTCCTTGCTTTTCTGAAGACACTGCTGTCAAAGGGAATAGGATCAGGATAATCTGATGTTGGGCCAATGGCATTTTTGAAATGCTACATGAATAAAAAATGTATAGTTTTAGGGTTTATGGTTTAAAGACATAAACATCAAACATATTTCCATAACACCGGTGGTTTAACAAGGAAAAAGCCCCAGTAAACAGGGAAACTACACAATTTTACGATGCGTGGCTGTTACATTCCCTGTCCTGCAATACAAACTTACTAAATCTGTCGCCATATTAATATTCGGCGCCATCTTCACGTTTTGAATACCGTTTACTGTAAATAAATTGTTTTTGTAATGAACTGAATAAGTTAATAATTGCACTGCATAAATAAGAGCTTTAACTCACCTTTGAACATATGTATGTGTTTTTTGTTACATTCTTAACGCTAAACTGCCTGTGTGGACGACCGCATGCACGAATCCAGGTTAAACACTTCTCCAGCTGTGTTTTTGGCTTCGGAAAAGCAATGAAATACACCCCTTCCATTCGTTCCGGATAACGAGAATCAGATTTGCAACACCCATAACAACAGTATTTTACTGGCATGACTTTGTCGGAGAAACGTATTCTTAAAGTGATAATAACTCTTCGTTTCGGCCAAAAAATGAATTTTCCTGGAGTAAACAACAATTTTCCCATACTTACCATACTTGATATAGGTATACAATAGCCCTTGATAACCATGCAATATATGTACTAGATCAATCCAATCAATGTTCTTTATGGCTTTAACTTTTTATTTGCACGTTTGCCTAAAAAGTGTGACAAAAGAATTTGGAATCATTGAGAAATTTGTTAGGTTCCGTTATTTCCTGAAATATGTCGTTAAATAAAAACAACAATCGAGCGTAGCTATCTGGATTAAGTTAGTACTGTATATCCTCTTTATACTACTTATAGCTATAGAAATCATGATGATTGGTCAATTATTATTACTTTTGCAACACAAGATTTAACAATTAACAGATATTTTCCTTTTTTTCAGAGACATTTTGTTCGACTTACGAGAGCATGCAGACAGACTAGATGAAGAACACAGATATGTCCAGAAAAACATAATTTTTATGACGAGATATCGCAAGTTTTACCATTCCTTTGGCCGGTTGCCATGGCAGCGCTCTACACAACAGTAGTGTACGCCATAGTTAAAACTGGGAGACCTATGTACAGAATATAACTGAAGGACTTTACGTAAAACATGCTTCAGACGGTGAACTTGCTGTTGACAGTAGTGTTACCAGTGGCAGTTTAAAGTGGTAATTTGCTTTTAAAAAATGTGTTAAAAGATGATTGTTTTTGTGCTTATTGTAAAAATTGTTTATGGTGACGAAAAGTCTCTTGTTTAAAAGCCTTTATCAAACCAGTACATATGAACATGAAAAACACTTTTCTTTGTGTGAACTGTACCCAGGGAGAATGTTATCTTCTTTGACCGTGATCTTGATGCTGACCTTGAAAAAACGTTTTTATATGTTTATTGATTTTATCTATTTATCAATAGATTTGCCATGAGTTTTGTCATAAATCTGTTAATCTGCGAGTACATTTATATATATCTACTGTTTATTAACTGGCAGTTGTTTATCTATATTTGTCTGGCTGTATAACCATTTGTCAGTGCCGAACACCTAACAAGAACAGAAACAAACGCGGTGAAAACTGTATAGGGCCTACTGTATCTCAGACCACAAAAACGATTACTGCCGTTTGCTAACACGAGCCTTTGCAGGACCGTAGCCAGAGGGGGTTTGGGGGGGGTTCGAAAGAGCCCCCCTTTTTGCTGTTAAAAGGTCCACTCTAGGTAAAATTTGACCTAGGTAAATGGGGATTACATGGTAAAAGGTCCACTTTTTCAGAAAAGCC